AGTTTGTAAAGAAGTGCTATTTTGCCAACTACATGTGGTTTCCATTGTGCCTGATCCTCTAGAACAGGGGTCGGCAACCCGCAGCTCCGGAGCCGCATGTGGCTCTTGAATCCCCCTGCTGCTGCTCCGTCACTCAAAACACGTGCCAGCACAGCTGCCAATCTGCGATCGCTCCGAGTTGCAAAATACCAATAGGTGATGATGAGGCATCTACTCAGGAACAATGCTGAGCTAGCAGGTTAAGTAAATTGGGACATTGCAGGGAAAGAGTGGAACAAGCTTCCTGCAGGCTCTCATGTTACATGAAAGGAACCCCTGCTGAAAAGATTTTCTTTGTCCAAATGTAACTTCCTTCCTCTGAATGATAAAAGCTGCATTTGGGACCTGTCAAAATTCATATCACTTGACTGTTTATCTGCTAATCAGTCACTAAACACCCTATATCTGCGACTTCCCCTGGTAGGCCAACCATGGATAAATCGAAGAAAAGTTTCTGAAGAAAACCCGAATGTATAATGATACCTGGGTAGATTCATTTGCTTTTACTGCTGACGAACTTATGGGGTTTGCTGTTTAATGCATGCAGCCCTTTAGCACTGGCTTTGACTCTTCAGGAAGCTGTTCTCCTATTCAAAATATATGAAAGGAGTCCTCCTAGTTTATAATGTAAGATTAAAAATAACAGTTTTTAGTGACTGAACAAGAGCTGCAGCTAAATCATAATGAAGATATACATAGCATTAAGGCAAAAGAGATATATGCAGTGTTATCTTCATTTTAGATGTCAAAAGGGTTTTGTGGCTCCTAGTGTTTTCTTTTGTGTGGGAAATGGGTGCAAATGGCTCTTTGAATGTTAAAGGTTGCTGACCCCTGCCCTAGAACTAACTTTGTTGACTCCAAGTTGCTGCTGACACCAAGCTAGACTCTTCTCCGAAGCTCGCTGGGGGAAAAGAGTAGTTGATAGAACAAAGATAATCTGACTCCAGCAGTTGTTTTACTTTGGAGTCAACAAACAAGGTGCTTTGAAAGACAAATCCACTAACACTGTTCTTCACTGTGACACAAAGAGCAGTCATAATCTTTAATTGATGGGTTCCCACAACAGGGTTTCTGTCAGAGCACAAGGTGGATTGAACATTACTGGCTCCACTGTTTCACTGACTTGTGGAAGGGTTCTTGTTCTTAGGGAAAAGACTGGTGACAACAGAAAGAAAGAAGGAAAGAGCCTGGGAAGAAAGACAGAATATGACCGACACCTTCTCTTGCCCCATCCTCTTCTTTAGACCACTCTGTGAAGACTGCAGCTCTGTAATGTTAGGATATTGCCTGTTGAAGTAGTGGTTCCTGACCTTTTTTGAACCCATGGGTGCCTTTGGTAATTTGAGAACCTGTTGTGGGCACCACTACAAAATGGCTCCCATTAAGAACATGGCTAGTGACACAATGGCTGCTGCGAGGGCCTGACTGGAGAGATGCAAGGAAAGCAAACAGTGGCTAGAGCTTGTGGTTTACCACAGTTGTCTTCTGCACAGTTAGATTGAACATCTTTGCCATTGCCTGTGAAAATTCCTCCACTAGTTTCACTCTCAGCTACGAGATGAATGGTTTCTGTAAAAGAGGTTAGAGTTTGCAAGAGCTAAGCAGGTCTGTAAAGGACAGGACATTTTTGGAGGATGTTCATTTATAGGGCCCCCATAAGTTAGAAACTGCTTGATGGCATGTAACAGCAGCAGAGACTGAGATGGCAGGGGAAATATTGAGGTTGAAGATAATGATGATTTATTTAATTTCTATACCACCCGATAGCCAAAGCTCTTTAGGTGATTCACTGTGGTTCCTAAAAGCAATACAATAAAATACCGTAACATTTTCCAAAGTACATGTGTCTTCCATGTGTAATTCATGGTTCAAATAGCACAATATTTCACTGACAACTTGTGGCTCAGTGACAACCCTCAACTGTGGGTTATTGTATTGTATGAACTTATCTAGTAACTCAGATGGAGGCTTCTTTTTGTATAAGGAGCAATGTGACTCATGGGATGCAAGGGATAGATGATTCCATTGTCTCTGCTCCCCTGCCCCCCCCCCCCCCCCCCATAAGCAGAGTTGATCCTGCACGGCTGAAGTTGGCCCATCCCTGACCTTCATCCTCTCAGTTTGACTGATAAGGAACTGGGAGCTGATCTCCTATCCTGTGGTTTGTTTTTTTCTTATTTTATCTCCAGGGCTGAAAGATATGGGTGATAACCCATTCTCTCTTAATCATCCAGACCAGTACTTAGTGAGGCCACAGCAAGGGGAAAAAAGAACCAAAGTGGAATCTTAAAAGAAGAATCTGTGGCTTCTTGGGGCAGTCCATGGAGGCTTATGCCAGAATAAATTTAGGTGTCACAAGGCCCCTCTGCAGTTTTTTAATCTTTTACTTGCAGTTTAGGAAAGTTTCCATCACAAAGTGCAGGGTAAGGTCACCATCAGAAGAGAATGCTTAGTGATTAGGGCAGCCTTGTTGTTGTGCTAAATAGGATATATTCATTACTGGATTCTTCTCCAAGATGAGCTTGGGGGGCGGGGGAGGGTGGTTGAGTTGCATGACAATGACAAGAGAAGAGCACAGCTGTGCGTTAATGAGCCCTTATCAGCCAGACACTCATCTGCACTGGTCATTAGAACAGAGGCCATGCTCTGTCCAAACAAGCCACTGTTGAAAGCAACTTATAGACAGACTCTATGGGACTTTTGCAGATGAGTATAGGTTCTCTCTTATGCTGTACCCATGCTTGCTGGCCAGTTCAGGGTGTTTCTGGGCTCTAAAAAGTATGCAACTCCTTTTGGAACCCTTTTCTGTATCTGCTACAAGGCCAGATGTAAGGTTTTATTAGCAGCATATAAAACCATAAGCAGCTTGGGAACCAGATATTTGAGAGAGATCTTCTCCCTAAGCAACCTGTCCTGGCCCTGAGGTTATCCGATGATATGTTCCTCACAGACTTCCTTGGGCCTGTGGCCCACCTGGCATCCACCCAAAGCAGACCCGTCATTATAGTGGCTTTCTTTCTGTGGAACTCCCAGTCTCTGGTGGCTAGGCAGACTCCAATACGGTGTTATTTTTGGTGCCTCCTATAAATATCTTCCAGATATTTTCCTTACTTGGCCAGTCATGGTTTCTATTGAGTTATTTTTTAAAGTTTAATATGTTTTCTTCTTTTTATCTTTTATTGTTTTCTTCTTCAGAATTTGTTCTGATGTGGAGACGCATATCAACATTGTAAGTAAGTAAGTAAGTAAGTAAGTAAGTAAGTAAGTAAGTAAATAAATAAATAAATCTGGTTCCTAAAAGCCCAAGTCTTACAGGATACAAATCTGCACAAAATGCATATTTGCTGATTTATATCTAAATAAGCAACCACTAAAATAAGCATGTCCTATATTAAATTGCACAGAAGCAAAATGAAATTCTCATCCAAATAATTTCAAGTAAGATTAGTTTGCACCCTGTGCCACATCTTCCTAAACCAATGGAGAAAAATGCCCCCAGGCTTAACTGACATGCAAGGAGAAATTGAAAGCGGGGTGGGGGGTTGAGATCTGTAGCACCCTGCTCCAGATCTTCCCTTCCCAGCTTCAATGGCTCTTGAAAAGCCCACTGAAAGGCAGTTAAATGATATGGAATTGTGCCTGAGCAGTGAAATGCCCACATTCACTGATGGCACCAAATTATTTAGGTTAAAACTAAACAGGGTTGTGGAACCTCAAAAAGGAGCTCTGCAAATTGGGAGAATGGCCATCCAAATGCCCAGCGTAGTACAATATGAGCAAGTGTAAAGTGGTGCATGCTAGGGCCAAAAATCCCAATTTTGAGTATCGGCTGGTGGGATGAGTTGGCACTGATTGACCAAGGAAGAGATGTTGGGGTTATGAAGGACATTTTGATGAAAATGTTGACCCACTGGACAACTGCTGTGAAAAAGATAAACGCCATGTTAGGTATAAGGAAAGATGTGATCACAGATCTCTGGTTGCTATGGGTAAGAAAGGGTGTAATAGTTGGGAAAAGTGCCAAGAAGGGCAGCTAAAAACTGTGGCAGCTCCCAGTGAGGACAGGCTAAGGCATCTGAAGTTGTTTAACTTAAAAAAATGGAGAGTGAGGGGAGAGGCATACATAATTATGCTTGCTATGGAGAAAACAGATGTGGGGACATGACTCTTACATTCCCTGGCCTCTGGGAGAGCATTGTAGGGCCCACTAGATACCTCTGAAAAAAGCTTCCAAGGTCAGAGGAAGAGCTTTGAAGGGAGAGCCAGAGATCCAGGCCCTCTTCCCTCACAGCCAGCATGGAATGTATGCAAAATCCAACCACTCCAAAATGTATTGTGCTCAAGTTGACAGAATGGAGATGGGACCATTCTGTGCGCATTTTTTATGTTCAAGTTCACTTTTCTTTTAAAGGGAATGTGTGTTTATTAGCTTTATATCACCTTTATATCACATCCTCCTTTTAAGTTGTCCAGAGTTATGTAAGCCTGAAAACAGTGTGCATATAAATAACAGATTAGGTGGAGACTCAGTGACTCAGGACCTCTCTGAACATGAGTGTTTCTTGTTCAGTCTGAGTTTCTCTCCCCCTAACCAGGTCTCCAGCTTGCAGCTCCATTAAAAGCCCCAATATGTATTCTCAGTCTGGACTCCGTTTCCAAAACAGTACAAGATGCCAGAAGCACTACCTATGCAGTGTGCCAGCATTTCTTTCAGGCTCCTTGCAATGCCAGCACACCTAAGCACATTACCTATTGTGCAGTGTAATCCTCGCTTTATTTACTCAAAGGTAAGACCTCAGTCTTCACCTTATGCTTTTCTTATTCATCCTTATGCAATTAGAATATCCATGCACTTTCCATGATGTTACAGACAAGTGGTGAAGAAGTGCTTTCTGTCAACAGTTAACAGTATTTTTCACTGATAACAATATAAACATTAAAAATAAAAGAAATACAAGGCATTTTCAGAGTAGAAAGGGTCAAAACTTTATAAACTTTGGTACATCAGTAGCTGAACTCTTTGCTCAGCAGGATTTCTTTCACTGAAAGTAACTCTGGAAAACCTTCAAGGTTGATACAAAGCTTTCCAAAAAGCTGCATCACCTGGGACTTTGCATCCTTAAATAAATACCTGTCCCTCCTGCAAAATAAATATTAGCTGTTCCACAGTAACTAGGGTTCCCAGTATATTGGGGGTTTCGACAGGAAAGAGTTAATGAGGTCTAGAGGTCCACTGGAAATTTCCTTGAAGGGTCAGAGCCAAAGTGTACCAGGCACATCTTTTGTTAGGGAACATACAGGTAAATGGTCCACCATGCCTAGGAACTAGCTGGAGGCATAGAAGGTAATCTTGGCAAAAGACACACCTTATCCTTCTTCCCCAAAAGGTGATATAGTCTGGATGTCTTTAAAAGGGAACTAGGGGAGTCTGCAAGTAAGAATCTGGAAAGACATGTAGGGCAGGCTTGGGCATGTACATTTTTGAGAGGGTGAATCTCTCTCTGAAGATCTGATGTAACTAAACAAAAAAAACAAAACAAACACAGTGAATTTGTCTGTTACGCCTTCAAAGAAAGCCAACCTGACAAGACAAAAAGAAAGTAGGTTTGTCTCCATGGGCACTTCCAAAAGCATCCATCAGCTCTTTGAGAATGGCCCTTTCAGGATCTATTTTCCAAACATTCATTGGGCGAAAAGTTTGTCTTATTGGGCAAAGCAGCTAGGAACAGAATATGTGCAGAGATCCCGGTTCCATGCGTGTACCCATAATTTCAGCTGGATTGTCGCAACCATCCTGAACTCATAGAACAAGGAAATGTCCATTGCTTTGCTGCCAAATTGGCTTCTTGATGGAGCAAGCAACAATCCACTGCAAATCCCAGGGATGGCTGAAATTAGATGATGCTCATATATAATCCTTGAGACTGGGAACAAATAAACCACTTGGCAAAGTAAATCTGGGTTGACTGACATCTTACGCAGGGAAGCCTTGCTTTGATCATTAAATTGGCACCCTTTGACTCAGATGAAACTTCCCCCAGTACTGAGAAACACCCCACAGCAGCAATAAAGTGTGTCATCCCTTGGAGAGAGTGAGGTTAGTCCTAGGAGCCATTCTTCAATATTCCTTGTCCAAAGATTCTCTGCTCGCTCAAACTCCCTGTCAGAGACTTCCCCTTGCGGCTGTGGCTCGTTTGACGTAAACCACCAGGTTGCCGCCTGGAATTAATTCAGTGATGTTACTTCGAAACAAAGCAAGTGGACGTCCTGGAGAAAAAATACATATAAATGTTTAATAATAGACTCCTAATGTAAATTCTTTAACATATAACATTTAAAACCAGCTAAAAACACTTGAAAGAAGACACCTGATAAACAACCTTATTAAAAAATATAATGTGCTGAGCCCTAAAAAAGCTTAGAACTTGATGGGATGTTGGGAGCTGAAGGTCAAGACCTCTGGAGGGCATCTTTTTGGGGAATTGCTGCCCTATGATGTACCCTGCACAATGCATTACAACTTTACAACTATCTACTACATGCAGTTGCTTTAAAATGCTGTAAAGTACCCAGAGAGCTTTGGCTATTGGGCAGCCTAGTAATCAAATAATAATAAAATGACAACTAAAATGAACAAGAACATGTTGTCTATAGCCAGAGAAGGCAGCAGCACCAAGCCCAAGCCGTCCCCAATTCCCTTCAGCAGCAGTTGCTAAAGCTGCTGTACTTGGTTTCCAAAGGATGAACTTCAGCAACATTCCACCTTATGTTAACAGCAGAAGCATCGAGATGAGCGCACTAGGAAATCCAGCACAGATTGAGGCCCGTCTTGCTTCCCCTTCGCTGCTTGCTCCTTCATCAGCTTCCACTGCTGCCTTAGACTGCAGAAAGCACCCTGAACCAAGCAGTTAGGAGGGATACGGTCCCCTCTGGCCACAAACAGGATGTAACCCCCAGCAGAAAGAAGCAGCAGGCCAATGAGGAGAGCAGTGTGAACAGGGGAGACAAAGCTGTGCCAGCAGTTTTTAAATCCATGCATTCAATGGCAAAGTGGGGCTTTGCAGCCTGTGGAAGTGCCACGAGCCCGTTTTTTATTCCGCCTCCATTTGGTGGCAAGAGGTTTGTGACCAAGGGATAAACTAAGAACTGATATATGGGGATAAAAAGTGACAAACTGGAGACAGCCTTTCCACTTTATGTTTTTGCATCACGAAGTGGGGATTGTCAATGCCAAAAGCATGCGAACGGGTGGTTGCTGACCAAATCTTCCCCACAATATTAATGCAGCAGCACTGATGGCAGCAGCAATATTTTATGTATTCATTTATAAAATTTATAATCCACTTGTCATTGGATCCCAGGGTGCAAAATGCCACGGTTACATTTTATGGAGGCAGCAACCATGCGCTTGTACGGTGTCAGCTCCAGCAATCTTCGCATCCACTCAGGATTTAAAGGAGGGGCAAGGAAAACCACCACACCCTTTTATCTATCACTGTGATGTGACCACTGCTGATACAGCCTCAGTGGCCATTGGGATGTGCCAAATAAATGGAGTACCTGCCTTCTTTGCCCCCTGGAACCAGAGAGAGGAGCATGTTGGAGATTCTCCAGCAACTACTTTCAGGGAAAGGCTTGCGCCTTCACAGACAGAGCTAATTACAAGTTTTTGATGAAATTACAAGTTATTGGTGAAATCTGTCAGTTTAAGGATTTAGGTCAATACAGGATATCATAAATGCCACTGCCATAAATATAAGTGTTGCTGTCATCCTAGGTTTTACATCTCAAAGACAAAAGCCTATACATACCACATGGATTACTGTATCCTACTTTTGGCTGGTGGACCCAGAAGCTGTTTAACGATGCAGAGCAAAAATCTACTCAAAGTATTTAGCACAGTAGACAGAAAGCCAACAGAGATATTTGATGGAGGATACACCTCTTGATGTATTCTAGCCCAAATGTTAATGTATACCCAGCAGACAGAACTATTAAGAAATGCTGTAGGAACTGACTGAATGGCCTTCTGGGGCAGAGTTTACTTATCATCAAGACCACCAGAGCTTAATTTCTGCAACTGAAAGAAGATGACGCGGTACAGCAGTACCTCAGGGCCAGCGTGGCGCAGTGGGTAAGAGCTGGGACTGGGACTCAGGCGATCCGGGTTCGAGTCCCCGCTCAGCCACGGAGCCAACTGGGTGACTCTGGGCCAGTCACAGACTCTCAGCCCAACCTACCTCACAGGGCTGTTGTTGTGGGGATAAGATGGAGGAGGAAATGTAAGCTGCCATGAGCCCTTTGTAGGAAAAAGGCAGGATATAAACCGAAAATAAAAATAAAACTACAGTAATGTTTCTGAGGCCCACTGTTGGCATCCTGCCACTGGAAGGCAGTGGGTCGTGTTCCAGCATGGGATGGGCAACTAAGGAAGGCACAGGGGCCATGTGCGGCGTAGTGGTGAAGAGCACGGGACTGGGACTCAGACAGTCCGGGTTCGAGTCCCCGCTCAGCCATGGAGCCAACTGGGTGACTCTGGGCCAGTCACAGACTCTCAGCCCAACCTACCTCACAGGGCTGTTGTTGTGGGGATAAGATGGAGGAGGAAATGTAAGCTGCCATGAGCCCTTTGTAGGAAAAACGGCCAACATCCCGTTTCTGGGCAAGGTGTTAGAGCGAGTGGTGGCGGGACAACTCCAAGCACTCTTGGATGAAACTGATTATCTGGACCCATTTCAGTCCGGCTTCAGACCCGGGTACGGTACTGAATCTGCCTTGGTCGCCCTGTACGATGACCTGTGCAGGGAGAAGGACAGGGGGAGTGCGTCCCTGTTGGTTCTCCTGGACCTCTCAGCGGCTTTCGATACCATCGACCATGGTATCCTTCTGGATAGGCTGGCGGGATTGGGGGTCGGAGGCACCGCTTTGCGGTGGTTCCGCTCCTATCTCAACGACCGATTCCAGAAGGTGGTGTTGGGGGACTATGGCTCTGCGCCATGGCAGCTTTGCCATGGGGTACCGCAGGGTTCCATTTTGTCCCCTTTACTGTTCAATATCTACATGAAACCGCTGGGAGAGGTCATCAGGAGGTGTGGGCTGCGGACCCATCAGTATGCTGATGATACCCAGCTCTACCTCTCGTTTTCCACCAATCCAGGTGAGGCAGTGGCTGTACTGAACCGGTGCCTGGCCGAGGTAATGGGCTGGATGAGGGCCAATAAACTGAAGCTCAATCCAGACAAGACGGAGGTCCTGTTGGTTGGCGGTTCGGGCTTCGGAGAAGGTGACCTGAACCTTGTCCTGAATGGGGTTGCACTCCCTCCTAGGGACAAGGTCCGCAGCTTGGGAGTGCTCCTCGACCCGGAGCTTTCACTTGAAGCTCAGGTGACAACAGCGGCGAGGAGCGCTTTCCTCCAGCTTCGGCTGATTCATCAGCTGCGCCCCTACCTGGAGTACGACTGCCTTGCAACAGTGACTCATGCGCTGGTGACTTCCCGTCTTGACTTCTGTAACGCGCTCTACGTGGGGCTACCCTTGAAGACGGTCCGGATACTTCAATTGGTTCAGAATAGAGCTGCCAGGCTGCTGACGGGGACTGGACGTTATGTTCACATGACGCCAGTTCTCCGTCAGCTTCACTGGCTCCCCATTGAAGTCCGGGCCCAATTCAAGGTGTTGGTAATGACCTATAAAGCCCTAAACGGCTTGGGTCCTGGTTACCTGAAGGAGCGCTTACATCCATATTTGCCCAGTCGCCCCCTGAGATCGGCGGGAGAGGCCCTTCTCCGGGAGCCCTCCGTGAGAGAAATTAGGAGGGTGGTTACTCGGAGAAGGGCTTTCTCAGCGGTGGCGCCTAAGTTATGGAATGCGCTCCCCAGAGAGGTCCGCCTGGCGCCGTCGTTATTTGTTTTTCGGCGCCAGGCTAAGACCTTTTTATTTAAGCAACATTTTAAATGCTAAATACAATTGAATTTTATCTGGCCAGGGCGGCTTATTTTATAATGTGAGTTTTAATTAAGATTATTTTATATGGATTTTAACTTGTTTTATCTATGTTGTAAGCCGCCCCGAGGCTTCGGCGAATGGGGCGGCATAAAAATGTTTTAATAAAATAAAATAAAATAAATAAAATAAAAAGGCAGGATATAAACCGAAAATAAAAATAAAACTACAGTAATGTTTCTGAGGCCCACTGTTGGCATCCTGCCACTGGAAGGCAGTGGGTCGTGTTCCAGCATGGGATGGGCAACTAAGGAAGGCACAGGGGCCATGTGCGGCGTAGTGGTGAAGAGCACGGGACTGGGACTCAGACGGTCCGGGTTCAAGTCCCCGCTCAGCCACGGAGCCAACTGGGTGACTCTGGGCCAGTCACAGACTCTCAGCCCAACCTACCCCACAGGGTTGTTGTTGTGGGGATAAGATGGAGGAAGAGATGTAAGCTGCCTTGAGCCCTTTGTAGGAAAAAGGCAGGATAGAAATCGAAAAATAAATAAATAAAATACTCCTACTGTGACGCTTGTAAGCCCCCCAAACTGGAGGCTTTTGCTCATCCTTTGCAGGGCAGGAGCAGTGGTGGTGACCTTCTTTGCCTCCCCATCCCCACCTCCATGCTCTGCTTTTTTGTTCGATGGGACTCCCCTCTCTGGGGTCAGAGCACTCTTTCCCATCTTGATTCTAAGGATGCTTTCAAGGGCCTGTGACAATGCTCCTTCAGGGCGTACTCCTATGGATGTTTAGAGAGAGAGAAAAGTCCTGGGGAATGCTGGTAGCGCTAGGATTTTTTTCTGTTTAAGGACACACAAAATGAATGCGACACCAAGAACAGGTTACTGGATCCTGTACCACAAAAGGGAAGCGTTCTTAAAAATAAAAATGGAGGAAATGGTGTAACTGGAGCTATGCGCTCTCACCTGTCCATGTCCTCTCTGGGGTGATGATAAAACGCTGACACTGGGGGTGTGAACTGCAAATGGACGCTGCTTCCTCTGTGTTGTGAACAGAGATCATACATCCCAAACGGCTATAGGATGGCCAGCACTTGTAGTCCTCTGCATCCGTGTGATGGAATCCCTTTAAGGCAATGTATTCTTGGCAGGCAAAGGAAAAGACAATGTTGTTATTATCATTAATATGAATCAGCATTATGTATAGTTTAAACTTGAATGGTTGAAACCAGAGGTGTGGAATCTGTTTCAACCTAAGTTCTATAGTCAAATTCCCAAGAAACTCTAGGGTTAGGTTTAGGGGACTGCAATCCATGTAGTGGCTGGAGCCAAACAGAAGGGGCAGGGCCAAAATACTACCATATTTTAGTGTCAAGCTCCTATCACCAGTGGATAAACCTTTATAATAGGGATGAAAAGATGCTAAACTTGGGAAGCTGCCAAAAGATCAGGGGTGGGGGAAGACTGGGATCAACCAACAGTCAGCCTGTCCCAGCCCCTGCCTCTTGGTGCTCCCTTGATGCTCTTAACCGAGTGTCCCATGGGTCCAAAGCAATTTTTTTCACATGCACAGACTAGATGGCCCAGGAGGTCTCTTCTGACTCACTGTTTCTATGCAACAACTTGGGAAGAGGCTGTGCCCATCTGGTAAACTCTATGGGATGGTTTGGGAACCCAAGAAGATTGGATTGGGTCCATAAGCCTGAGGTTTGGCACTCTTAAATGGAATTATGGTCTAGCAGTCATGGGACAGGTACTCTCCAGGCACTCCACCATGTATACAGTGACCTGTTCTGCAGAGACTCACAGAAGTGCTGCTAGCCACTTTCCTGCAACAGAAAACGCTTTTAAAGTTAAAAGGTATCTGTCGAGGAAGAAAGAGCAATGGCAGTGGCGATCTGCAGCAGTGTTGTGCGAGATGCAGGATGCAGGCATGGAGGTGCACAGCAGCTGGGACTAGCAGTCTGTGGATATGAACCGCCTCCCCTCTGAGCTGCATCAGTCACTCAGAATCTTGGCAGGACCAGCCTGCGATGTGCCAGAGTCTGATGCTCCCTCTAGGAGTAAACCATTCTGTAAAGGCTTCAAAAGCATCTACATTTAGTACCTTTTAAAGGAGAGGGCTTTTTCTGCAGGTAAAGTCCAGACTTGTACAAATGCAAAACTTTCTGGAAAGCTCTCCGGGTTTCTCTTGCTCCATATCGCAAATCACCTACGTGAACAGGGTGCATGTGATGTTTTAAAGAGAAAGGTGCTTGAAAGAAGCTCTTCTTTAAACAAATGCCTTTGAAAATATGTATTAGCACATACCTGTGGCATTCAAGATATTCGCCAGAATGGGTTGCAAAGTGACTGGTGCCAAATGAGGCAAGAGGTACATGAAGAAATACCTAGAAAAAGTATTATTTTTACTTTATTCTTTTAGAATCTTAAATGCTGTGTGAGTGATTTTCTTGCAGAACTGTTTGTACAGTCTAAAGGGCAAATCTTGTTCAAATCCTGTGTATCTCAACTAGAGTCCCAATCACTGGGAATAAGCCATAAATAGAAATAAATAGAAAGCCGTTATTTCTGTGGGCCTTTTATCATTTTGAGGGTTGACCCAGGAATAGGCAGCATGATTTTCACAGGTCCTGGTGCACCCCCAAACAGCTTTCCTGGTGCCTACTGAGCGAGGTACACCTCCTGCTTCTTACTTTAAAAATAAAACCAATTTTCACACCAGCTGCTGTTACCTTCCTTTCCCATGAATGCATCTGGGCTACAGATGGGGCTCAGATACATTCTTCAGAAAAGAAGATAGTGAGCAGCTGCAGGCTGATGCTTTCTTCTATGTGCCCAGTCACCATGAAAACAGGAAAAAAGGGAATGGGCCTGTGGTTTAGCAGCCACTGAAAAGATCTCTACATTATACTCTGTCATTTGGGCAGGTTACTTGTCCTTTGTGACTAGCCATACTTCACAAGACATCCACTTCTCCAACTACTGTGTGAACTCCTGTGTTCTCAAAGGTTGCCTAATCCTAACTTGGCCTACAGTTTGTTGGCTAACTAAGAGCAAATTGCTTGAACTGAACCGATCAGCAAGAAGATCAAGAGTTGGTTAATTGCTTCTGTGTCACACAACTACACTGCTCTTTCCCTGAAATATGCAACATACCGGTACGCATTGAAGAGATTCCTTTTCTCATTCATCCCTTCACACTTCCCATGTGTGCCACATGGGAAAATGAAGCTTCTTGTGGGGAATTCCAGAGTGCAGTCCCTGTTGGCCCTGCAGGACAATTCTTCAGTGCTCACATCATCCAGGTCTGTAACTTTCAGGACACCCTTCACCATCACAAACTGCCGAGGCTGGAAATCCAGGAGGACAATGGAGCCCAGAGGAGAATGTGCCAAGTAATAAAGCAGCTCTACCAGCTCTAGGCAAATCTGAAAGAGGAGGAAAAGGATATAGATTGATTGGGGGCATCTGAATACACAGTGAAGGGATACAGCTAATGAATACAGTGATAGCAGCTCTCCAAGCAATGTTCCTTATATAGCCAAAACCATACCCATCCAGAGGATGGGTGGTAACAGGAAATCCAAGGTTCCAAAAAAGGAAGGAAAAATCCCAAATGGGAGAAGGCAACCCTGTAAAAGAACCTCATGGAAGGGTGTGAAGAGGTTCCAGGCCACTGCAGTGGCTTGTGTGTCCCTCCATTCTGTGAACAGCTTTGCTGAAATCAATCAAGACTGATTGGCTGATTTTGTTTATGTCAGTGGAAGCTTTGTTTTCTTCTCCCCCTGAAGTCAGCTACAATACAGATCATTATCCTATGGCAAGCATGGGCAGAAGGGATCTGTGGCAAAGACTGTTGACTCCCAATTATTTAACAACAGCAATCACAAAATCATTCCCTTGGGGTGGGATAGGAATTGAATATAAAATGGCTTAAATGAAAAGCAAAACAAAACATTTGCGTGATTTTTTTTTTTTTTGTAAAATAAAATAAAGGGTAAATAAAAGGATTTGGAGCTGTGTGGAGTACAAGAACTGAATGATCTCCAAATGGCTCCAAAGCCTTTTATTCTGACTGCATTTCTTTTGCACAGGCCATGCTTGGCGGATCATGGGTTGCAATAAAAACAAAACAGAGCTCATAAACCTGCAGTCTGTCCACCCTGCCCTCTGGGATGAAATGATCTGGGTACCACACTTCAAGAAAGATGCAGACAAACTGGAAAGGGTTCAGAGAAAGGCAACGAAGTTGATCAGGGAACTGGAAACAAAGTCCTGTGAGGAAAGGCTGAATGAGCTGGGCATGTTTAACCTTGAGAAGAAAAGACTGCAGAGCGGTATGACAGCACTTTTCAAATACTTGGCTGTCACACTGAAGCCGGGAATCGCTTCTCAGTCATCCCAGATATGGAGTAACGGCCTTAAGTTACAGGAAGCCAGATTCTAGCCAGACATCAGGAAAAAAATCCTGACTGTTAAGAGCAGTAGGCAATGGGACCAATTACTTAGGGAGGTGGTGGGCTCTCCCACCCTGGAGGCATTCAGGAGGCAGATGGACAGCCATCTGTCAGAGATGCCTTAACTTGTGGTCCTGTGTGGAGCAGGGATTTGGCCTCAATGGCTATTTGTAGCCAGAGTAGCTAGCCAGTGTAGTGGTTAGAATATCTAGGGAGAGCCATGTTCTAGTTCCCCTTGTCCATGAAGCTTATTAGGTGACTTGGGCCAGTCACTGACTACAACCTACCTGACAGGGTTGTTGTGAGGGTAACATGAAGAGGAGAGTATTGCTGCCTCTGAGAAAAAGCAGGATATAAATGTAATAAATACATAGATAATACTAAATTAGCTGGGCAAATAATCTAACTTAGGACTGAGCATCTTCCTGTGTGCCCATGAAGTAAATTCTACAGGGCATTTTTATTCTGGATTCAGTGCAGGAGGTAGGAACCCATGATATACTTAAACGTGATGTAGGTTATTTTCCTTCCTTTAATTACACCTAGAAGTCAGACAACCAATCCCTGTGTCATTTTTTCCCAAACCTTTGGTGACTTTTTAAACCAGTATCAGTCACAGGGATATACGTGGGACCTGACTTCAAAGAGATCAAAACTAGAATCTTCAAAAGCCTTTCCATAAGCAAACAGAAAACATTGTTGAGAAGATCCCATTTGTTCTTCGCATGGACTCAGTCTGGGGTCACATAGCTACTGATTAAAACTCTCCCTTGTTTTTGTTTTCTTACTTTAAATCTCTCTTCCCAGGGGGTCTGCAGAAGCGGAATCATCTCCAGTGGTGTTCCTAACTCCAGCATGGTGACCACTCTCATTTCAAAATCTAAGCTTCTTGCATAGCATCGACCACGCAACTGTTGAGAGAAAATGTACAATTTGCTGCATTAACAAGGATGGAAGTGTTTGGATTTAGCTTTCTGAAAGGCAGGAACATAGTGTGTGTCTATATGCCAATAGGGAACAGCAAATGAAGATGTAGAAATGTTTACAAAGATGGCTTTGGATTCCACCACAACAAGAATATTCCTACATTAATGGTTCTACACATGATGATACATCCCATAAAGTTATTAATCTGCATTTTGAGATTTAGTCCTTACACAGAGAACAGAGTTGTTCCACTGACTACTTTGCTATTAAGATTACTCCTCTAAAGAGGTAGAACTACCTGCTTTCTGTGCTTTTTTCATCTTCCTTATAAGTGGCTCCTGAACAAGCAATCAAGGATGCAAATGTATGTATATTTTAGACAGGAAAGACATCCTACAAGTCCCAGCATTTGCCAGCCAGATGGGACTTGTAGGAGTTTTTTCTTCCTATTTATTTATTTTTACATTTATAAGCTGCCAAAGGATCAAATGAGCTCCCCAGGCAACATGCAATAAAATACAACCAACCAATGAAAGCTTCCATTAAAATAACAGATTAATAATAATACTAACATATTATTATGTATAAGATTGCAGCCTAAACTGAAGGAAGATGCAAAGACTTGCATTTGAGGTTTCTGATTAAATATTTCCCATCTTAGTCAAGCCTGCTAACCCCACCCTTTCTTTTATGCACATGTCAGTGGGTGGTGGCGGCTGGTGGACATCACAATCAAGAGCCCGGCTGCATCAGAACCCAGGTCCACCCATGAAGACCAACCTGGGAGAAAGGCTTTAGTTTAGGGGGTGTTTGGGAAAGCAGGGAGGTGGCTGGAGCTGCAAAACTGAGATGTATCCTGGTGATGTCTCAGCCTTTCCCTTGCTCCAAACTGCTGTGCTTAGATGGCTGAAATTGGAAGTCTAAGCAGTTTGCCAAGCCAGAGGAGCAGGGAAGTGACCTTGGCCTCCTGCCCTGCCTAAGATACCTGTAATCCTCTAAGTTCAGAGGGCTACAAGCAATTCCAGTGTTGCATCCTAAATAAATAAATAAATGACTCCCCTGGTTATTTGCCAGTTGTACTGGGAAGCCTCCAGACCCCTATCCATTACAAATCAGTATTAGTGTGATGCCTTTGTTAAGCCAACAGAAATATCACAAAAACTGCAAGCTTCTGAGATCTCCTAATCTTTTTATCAGGGAAGATGGTACCACCCAGAAAGTTTGGCAGGGGGAGAGGGATGAGGAGAAAAGATGGGGAGGGAAAATAAACTTCCTTCCTTTCATCATCATCTTGGGACTCTGGTGAAAGACACTCTGACTTCATCAAGTCAGGGTCATTGCTTTTTTCCTGCCCACCCATCCTCCACTGCTAAATCTGCTTTTCTGTAACATTTCACCTGATGAAAAAAAAATCCAGAGATTTGAATGCTTGTCTATTTTTTTGTGATCTTTTGAGCTTGCCTTATATTTTTTTCACAAATTTGATTTTGCACTGTTGTCACCGTCAACATGACCACCTTAATTTTTAAAAAAATCTCATCCAGTGATCATCACAATGGGTAGCCACAAATTCCTTATATGCCATGAGCAGACATACTATAAAAGTAGTCCTCCTATATTCTCATGGTCTGCACTCTCAAATGCAGCAAATCCAGCTCCATGAAAACCTTTAGGGAACATTGAGTAATCAGTTAGTTACTAATTGGTTAAATGGTTAAGTTTGTGCATGCTGCCAGAAGTGGGGTACCAAATAGGAATGCATGTTAGCAACAGACCTCACTTAAAAGAAAGGCACACTTAACCTAAACGTACCCTCAAATACTTTAATTTTTTAAATGTCTACTCCAGTTTTCAGTATAAAATAAATGATTTAGCCTCTGGTTGCATCCATTTGAGATCTGAAATCAGAATTAATGCATTTAACTGTATGCACATTTACTTGGAAGGAAGACCACTGAACTCAGTATTGCTTCCAAATAACCATGCTTAGGATTGTGTTACACAGCTTGCAGGCCTACAAAGAAAAGGAGGTAAAACAGTAAGTTTTACAAATCTACAGTAAAACACAATCAAGAGTGCTAAATTCTGCATTAAACATTGCATGCAGGGTTCATGGCTTGGTCACTTAGTTCTGAGCTGGACTCAATCTTAAACGTTTTTAGAGCAAAGGTTCAATGTTCTGAGCCATGTTAAAGACATCGAGTGCATGCAAGCATGTGCAAAGAGCATTTCCCCACCCATTGAGCAGCCATAGGCCACCATCACGCTTCTGTAATTACTGTGGGTGGAGAAGAAAAGTACGGCTCCGAGGTAAAGTTAAAGCCTGCAAAATCCTATACAACGTTTTCCCAGGATTCTCACTGTGTTCAGTGGGGCTTCCATATAATAAACGTATTTACGACTGGCAGTCGAAAGTAACTACGGCATAATTCCTACTGGATTTTCAATGGCGCTAAGCACCATTTCGACCCACTTTGAGCATCCCTGGGCAGAATACAAACGTAACCAAGACAAACGACCTTAACCAAGAGATACAAATTTAACGACCACGTTGGAGCGCGCAATGTCGACCTGGCGTGCGCCCCGAAACATCCAGAGCCAGAGAGCTGCGGGCCGGGTCGGGTCCGGGGCCTGCCTCTCCCCTACGTGCCTTGACGATGCCGGGATGATCGAGGCGCTCTAGCAAAACCGCCTCCTTCAGCAGCTTGTACGAGGCGAGCCGGGAGCAGCCCTCCGGGTGTCCGTGGCGCTGCACGCAGCGGCTCACGTCGCCGCCGGCCCAGTGCACGGACTTCAGGGCCACCTCCTCCCCGCCGGGCGACAGAGCGGCCTTCCGCACCAGCTTGGTGATGCCGGCGCCCACCAGGCTCGCGCCCACCGCGCCGCTCAGCTCGGCGCAGCCCAGCGCGCCCGCCGCCGCGCGCCCCGCGGGAGCGGCCGAGGCGTTGCGCGCCCTGGCGGAGGCTGCCAAGCGGCTCAGATCCAGCTGCCGCCGCGCCAGCTCCCGCATCAAGCTCGGCGGCACCCGGCCGTCGGGCGGCCTCCAGGGGCCCGCGGTGAGAAGGGCCAGGACGACCAGGGCGGCGGCGGCCAGGAGGGGCACGAGCGCCGCGGAGCCCTGCATGGTGGCGACGCCGAAGGAGCCAGCCAGCCAGCCAGCCGCCTGTCACGCGGCCGACACCCGCCGGCCTGTGCGACCTCGGCTCCGTCTGCGGGTGAAGCGTGCCCCGATCGGCTTCCCGGCTGGGGCGTGCCCGAGCCAGTCACCGCCCCGCTCTCGGGTTCTCCTTGGCGGAGTCCTCCGCCTCTCCAAGAGGGAGGTCGAGGGAGCCGGACCCTCCGGAATGGATCACCTTTCCCCAGTCAGGCGCCGCTTGAGCTGCGTCGTTCGCAGCCTACATGCAGGGGTGGGGTGGGAAGTTGAAATCAGCAGCCCCCACTCGGCTGGGGTTTGTCAGAGCGTCGGTAAGCAACAGGTACGCTGAAAATAAAAAAGCGGTGGTTTTGTTAGAACCGCACTGCTGGAACACGAGTGTGACAATATGTAAGAGCGCAGGTCTCAAGAAGCTATACCCATTTGACAGTCTGCCAGAAATGTATACAAAGCAAAAGAGAAAAGCATAACTAAGCACACAGTTACTCTAAGTTGTTTTTATAAGTTAGTCTACCTGGTTTTTATAAACAACTCTTGCCACCAAGAGTAACCTTTTAGTTACCTTAAGAGTTAAGATTACAAGCATCAGGCAAAACTAAAGCTTCCTGCCTCCCTTCTCTGCTGCTTCTACAATGTTAGAAAGCGCACGTCATTCCAACTTAATCCTTTCCTTTCCTTGCTTCCTAGCAGGTTCAAGATTTGGCCACCCTCTGTACTGCTTTCCAGTGGCACAGGCGGAACTTTCCGCTGCAAAATTCAGTTGTGAGGCTCAGCTGATGCTACGCTCCTGCAGCAGCACGTATCTTTCGAAGATGACTGACATGGAGGGGGCACTTCTGGAGTGCTGCTGAAGCAAGACTGGAGATGGAACTTGCTTTCTTATTAGCACTTCCCAAGCAAAGCTGTGCTTTTTAACAGAGTCAATTCATGCATTTAGCTGCCAGTTTCAGGCTGGGACAGACTCAAGAAAGCCTTCTCCGACCTGGTGTGCTTCTGAAGTGTTGTAGTGCAATTCCCATCATCCCCACATATGTTAGCTGGGGCTGATAGCAGTTGTAGTTCAACACATCTGGAAGGCATGAGGTTGGGAAAGCAAATACAGAGCTTTGGGATGCCTGTTCCCTTGGAGGTCCTGGTACCTTTATTCTGGCTTTCATGTTGCTTCTAAAGGGGCAGAAACTGCTATAGAGAAAGAAAAACTTTGTGAATTAGTCCCTGAACCAAGTCACTATTTTTCAGCCAAGTCTTCCTTGCAGAGTTCTTGTGAGAAGAAACATGCCTCCAGGATCCTTGAAGGAATGTTTATCCTAAAAATGTAGCAGATGATATGACAGAGTGGAGGTCCCTCACCATCAAGCAATTTAGCCAGTGCCCTCTCTAGGCATGCAAGAATGCCAGCGTTTTGCATGTTTCATTTAAAAAACTTCTGCCGGGCCAGATTTCTTCCAGTTCTAATTTGTTAGTGTTACTTGGAGCATCTTGCAAAATGTTCACTTCTTGGATGTGAAAGCTATCTGAACAGGAAACATCTTGTTTGTTTGATTATTTGTTTTAGGGTGCCATACATCTTCAGTCCTCCTTCATGGATCACTGCCTTGTCACGGCGAAGGGACTCGTGTAGCTCAAGGAAGCTATGAGCTATGTTGTGCAGGGCCACCCAAGACAGACAGGTCATAGCAGAGAGCTCTGACAAAAGGTGATCCACTGGAGAAGGAAATGGCAACCCACTCCAGTATCTTTGCCATGAAAACCCCATGGACAGTACCAAAAGGCAAAAAGATATGACACCGGAAGATGAGCCCCTCAGGTCGGAAGGTGTCCAATATGCTACTGGGGAAGAGCAGAGGGCTAATACTAGTAGCGCCAGAAAGAATGAAGCGACTGGGTCAAAGCCGAAAGGACACTCAGTTGTTGATGTAGCTGGTGGTGAAAGGAAAGTCTGATGCTGCAAAGATCTATACTCCATAGGAACCTGGAATGTAAGATCCATGAATCAAGACAAGCTGGATGTGGTCAAACAAGAGATGACAAGACTGAACATCGACATCTTAGGAATCATGAACTAAAATGGACAGGAATGGGTGAATTTAATTCAGATGACCATCAGGTATACTACTGCGGGCAAGAATCCCTCAGAAGAAATGGAGTAGCCTTCATAGTCAATAAAAGAGTAGGAAAAGCAGTACTGGGATACAATCTCCAAAATGACAGAATGATCTCAGTTTGAATCCAAGGCAAACCATTCAACATCACAATAGTCCAAGTCTATGCCCCAACCACTGGTGCTGAAGAGGCTGAAGTTGACCAGTTCTGTGAAGGCCTACAACACCTTCTAGAATGAACTCAAAAAAATGATGTCCTTATCATCATGGGGGATTGAAATGCTAAAGTAGGAAGCCAAAAGATAACCGGAATAACAGGCAAATTTGGCCTTGGAGTACAAAATGAAGCAGGGCACAGGCTGGTAGAATTTTGTCAAGAGAATACGATGGTCATAGCAAACATTCTTTTCCAACAACCCAAGAGACGACTCTGTACATGGACATCACCAGACGGTCAACACAGAAATCAGATTGACTATGTGCTCTGCAGTCCAAGATGGAGAAGCTCTATACCATGGGTCTCAAACTCTGGAGAACTATGGACAGAGGTTCGCAACATTGTACAAGAGGCAGCAACTAAAACCATCCCAAAGAAAAAGAAATGCAAGAAAGCAAATTGGCTGTCTGAGGAAGCTTTACAAATAGATGAGGAAAGAAGGGAAGTGAAAGGCAAGGGAGAAAGAGATACACCCAATTGAATGCAGAATTCCAGAGACTAGCTAGAAGAGATAAGAATGCCTTCTTAAATGAACAGTGCAAAGAAATAGAAGAAAACAATAGAAAAGGGAGGACCAGAGATCGCTTCAAGAAAATTGGAGATATGAAGGGAACATTTCATGCAAAGATGGGCATGATAAAGGACCAAAATGGCAGGGACATAACAGAGGCAGAAGAGATTAAGAAGAGATGGCAAGATTACAGAGAAGAACTATACAAGAAAGAGCTTAACGTCCCTGATAACCACGATGGGGTGGTCACTGACCTCGAGCTGGACATCCTGGAATGTGAAGTCAAATGGGTCTTAGGAAGTCTGAGCAACAACAAAGCTAGTGGAGGTGACAGTATTCCAGCTGAGCTATTCAAAATCCTAAATGACGATGCAGTAAAAGTGCTACACTCAATATGCCAGCAAAGTTGGAAAACTCAACAGTGGCCACAGGATTGGAAAAGGTCAGTTTGCATTCCGATCCCAAAGAAGGGCAATGCCAAAGAATGTTCGAACTACCACACCATTGCACTCATTTCACATGCTAGCAAAGTTATTCTCAAAATCCTACAAGCTAGGCTCCAGCAATATGTGGATCGAGAACTACAAGAAGTACGGGCAGGATTTCGAAAAGGGAGAGGAACTAGAGATCAAATTGCCAACATACGCTGGATCATGGAGAAAGCTAAGGAGTTCCAGAAAAACATCTACTTCTGCTTCATTGACTACGCTAAAGCCTTTGATTGTGTGGATCACAACCAATTGTGGCAAGTTCTTAAAGAGATGGGAGTACCAGACCATCTTATTTGTCTCTTGAGAAATCTATATGCGGGTTAAGAAGCAACAGTGAGAACTGGGCATGGAACCACTGATTGGTTCAAAATTGAGAAAGGAGTTCAGCAAGGCTGTATACTGTCACCCTGCCTATTTAACTTATATGCAGAGCACATCATGAGAAAGGCGGGGCTAGATGAAACACCAGTTGGAATTAAGATTGCTGGGAGAAATATCAACAACCCCAGATATGCAGATGATACCACTCTCATGGCAGAAAGTGAAGAGGAACTAAAGAACCTCTTGATGCGGGTAAAGGAGGAGAGTGCAAAAGTTGGCTTGAAACTCTACATTAAGAAAACTAAAATCATGGCATCCGGTCCTCTCACTTCCTGACAAATAGATGGGGAAGAAATGGAGGTAGTGACAGACTCCAAGATCACCGCAGACGGGGACTGCAGCCAAGAAATTAAAAGACGCTTTCTCCTGGGAAGGAAAGCTATGGCAAATCTAGACAGCATAGTAAAAAGCAGAGGCATCACCCTGCCAACTAAAGTGCGTATAGTCAAGGCTATGGTTTTCCCTGTTGCAATGTATGGCTGTGAAAGCTGGACCATAAGGAAGGCTGAGCGCAAAAGGATTGAGGCCTTTGAATTGTGGTGCTGGAGGAGACTCCTATGAGTCCTTTGGACTGCAAGGTGATCAAACCAGTCAGTCCTAGAGGAGATCAACCCTGACTGCTCTTTAGAAGGCCAGATACTGAAGATGAAACTCAAATACTTTGGCCACCTAATGAGAAGGAAGGACTCCCTGGAGAAGAGTCTAATGCTGGGAAAGATTGACTGCAAAAGAAGAAGGGGACGGCAGAGGATGAGGTGGCTAGATGGAATCACTGAGGCAGTTGGTGTGAGCTGAGGTGGAGTCTGGGAAATGGTGGAGGACAGGAAGGCCTGGAGGAATGTTGTCCATGGGGTCGCGATGGGTCGGACACGACTTTGCGACTAACAACAACAACACATCTTCAGTCAAGATCCTGAAATAACAGTAGATTATGGAAAACCCTAACCTGGGAAGGCCACCTCCATATCTTATACACTAGTTGTGTTTTCAGAAACATAGTTTTTGTTAGGTCTTTTAGGACTGTTGTTTGATTGCTTCTGCCTTATTTTACAGATGTAAAATCTGTATTTCAATCACTGTTTTAATCACCACATTGTCATACTACTTTCTGGGATTGCCCCAAACTACCTGTAAACCTGGTTTGCACACAACCCCAGACCATCTGTTTAAGAATGGATGAATTTTCAGGGATGCCCCAGGTGTGGTGTGTGCAGCAGGCCCTCCAGTTTCCCTGTCCACCACATCCTAATAATCAGCTCTTTCACAGG